CTCAAACCGCGCGATATCAGTTGTCTTGAACGACCAATCCTCTAGATCATTTTGCGTTAATGCGGGCGTTTCCAAGGTCTTTATTCCTGGACCAACCCCGTTCCTTCTTTTTTATCAATGGCCTCCCTGATGTAATCATTTCCTGAGTTGGTATCTATGTCTATCTTAATAGTAAGTCTGATAGGTCCGATATAAATAATCGGCAGCTGATCTCGAAAATGACTTTTAATCTGTTGTTAACTGGGGCAAGGAATGGATCTTTAATTTTAACACCTCTAAAAAGAAACTGATCTCTCTTTATCATCTTAAAGGACCTTATTTTGCCTTCCGTCAGCATGGCTGATGCTAACCTCGAGGAGAGCAACTCAGTGTCTTCTTGGTCTCAAGTTTTCCCCTGACATGAAGCGGAAAGATTATATTGAACCAGCTGTTAGGTCTGCTGATAGGAACATTGATTCGCTGTGTAGCGCCAGACAGTTTTTCTCACCAGAATCTATCTTGCACATAAGTCTACCATTCGTCCGTGCATTGAATATTGTGGTCATATCTGGTCTGATTCTTCTGTTTTATATCTAGAGATTAATGACACTATCCAAAGAAGAATCAGCAAACTTATTAATTTGGCACATCGGCTTCGGTCACTTTCTCACCACCATGACGTAGCTTCTCGTTGCCTCTTCTATAAACATTTTCACGGTAATGGTGTGTTTTCCGCGTTGGTACCTCGACTTCACGAATTTAAGCGCAGTACTAGATTGGCAGTTAGGTCTCGTCATGTCACAGTTGAAATTGCTAGATGTAATCATTTTGATATTTACTAAGCTTTAATTAGTACGACACAAGGCTACAAGTGTGTGGCTTTTAGTATGTATTGGCTTTTAGTATGCATTAAGTTCATTTCAATAGTATTGGTCTGTGAGACTAGTTTGCTAAACATTGCTTCACGGCGAGGCAATCCATATTAAATGTGATAACAATTCGAAGAATAATACTAAAAAATTTAATTAATATCTGTGATTAATTTCTTAGCAGAGTCATGATCTAAATTTCATTTCTTAAACATAAGCAGTCAATTCTTCTCAAGTGGCGCTACATAGTCTACCAACGTCTAAGCTCTTATTAGATAAATAAACTTGTAAAATCTCTACTATCCAACAGGTATAAATTACGGAACATGTGTATGTGCACATGTTATCTTTTGTTGGTGCATTTTCATTGGCTTCCGTTCATAGACCGCCGAAAACCTTATTTCCCACGCACCGGACATTTCACCGGATGTGACATACGTTTCCCAATACGTCAGAGGATTTTGACTTTTCAGTCACCGTCTTTTTCTATTTTTGACTTCTTTCCGTAACCACTTGACACAAAATCGCTGCTGTTGTAACCATGATAAATTGCCATATTTGGAAATACGAGATTATCAGCGAGATTATCACATAAAATCTCGAACCCATATACACTGCTTGACTTCACTTGTATTTAAGCCATTAACCCTAGAACACTAACCATGGGTATATAGTACCCAGCGCAAATTTTCCTATTTTTTAATTACAATTTTTAGTACCTGATTTTCTTACCTAAATAATGTTTTTCAGTTCCTATTAATGTTAACTCAATGTACAAAGTTTGAAGTGCCTGCATGTAAAATATTTCAAATAAAGATTTATATTTAATATTCTTTTGATATTTTCAAAATCGGGTATGATATACCCATGGTTAGTAGGGATGTAACTTTAATTGATGATTAGTGTTCTAGGGTTAAATAGTTTTTAAAACCATTAATATGATTTGCTACCCGTGGAATTTCATCAAGTTTTTGGTTTTTTTTTCGTTTCTTTTTGTTTTACGGCATATCAACACCTCAATGGGTTATTTAATACCGACAAGATTTTTATTGCTGGTAATATTTTTTCCAAAAATGCATTGCTGGTAATAATTTTTTTTTCTTAAAAAATATATTGCTGGTAATATTTTTTACTCAAAAAAATTATTGCTGGTATTAAAACCTATTTTTACACTTGACCCCAGTTTGGGAGTTAACTATTTGCTCATAGTTGGGACTATAACTGGTGCTACCACCTCCTGGTCAGAGTGGACCTGGGACAATCAGCAATTAAGAGGTGGTTCCACGCACTTCAAAACCTCCTGATCAGTAGTTTATCGTCTTACCCTGGATGCGGACGTAGTTTATCGTCTTACCCAGGACTCTCAAGTTTTTTTTTGTGTGCATGCAACAAGATGTAACATATTTATTAAATGATTGATTTTTGATTAAATATATAATTGCTTACATAATTGATTCATATTATTCACAGAACATATATATTGATTTGCATTTATTAATGCAATGAAAGAAATGGTTTTAAGCTTATCTGTATGAAGAGACATCTTTCTTATGAGCTCATTTAAGAAAAATACGTCTTTCTGGTCCAACAGTTGGCACTGAGAGAGAGAGAGAGAGAGAGAGAGAGAGAGAGAGAAACTTTCTATATTTACGCCAAAACTGTCTTTCTAGTGCATTATGGGGATTTTACTTCTCTTTCTTTACTATAAACTAACAAAGAAAGGGACGCAACTCCTGCTTCTTATCTATAAATCACTACAAATCCATCTCTTCAATACCCCCGGCTATGGGTTAAATAGAAGGGTATTCAGGACTCTCTAGCATTAGATAGTAGCCAATCTAAGAGAAGGATAAATCCGAATTAAAAAACGAAGTCAGTTGGAAATCTCTCCAATATATTTCCCAAGAAGTCATGGCAATTCACAGATAATAAGGAAAAGAAATCAGTGGAGAACTATGACAATCTGCACGACAGGAAATAATAATAATAATAATAATAATAATAATAATAATAATAATAATAATAAAAGAATTTGTCTGAAGTATGCCCTCACTTATCCGTTAGTTTCTTGACATGCCAGAAGCAAGACATGTTTTGTCATTGAGAAAGATCACAGGGAGAAGTGCTTTCATGCCTTTTATCAAGGGAACATTAGAACTCTGTTTGCTATTTCCGTTTCTTAGGTTGATAACCTTTACATTACAGATACAGCCAGTGTGAATAATAATAATAATAATAATAATAATAAGAAGAAGAAGAAGAAGAAGAAGAAGGCATTTTCGCTCAAGGCCACAACAATTATGTGACACCAAGTGAGGATCGAACACATTAATCACGATCATTGGCAGACCTAGAGTAGGGCAGGCAAAGCGGTCCACCCTGGACGACAAATTTCCTGGTTAGCATAATGAAGCCACATGCAAAATTAATTAATTACATCTCATTCCACTTGTGCTATTTTTTTTTTTACCTAAATTCAATTTATGATTAAATTATACAACGAACATTTATTTTGAGCCAATTAGGAGATTGTTTTTAAATAGTTCTTATATTTTTAATATAATAACATTTTTTCTAAAAATTATTTAAAGGAAAAGCTTTTTTCCCTCTAATTTCCATTAAATATATTTTTCTATCTTGTTGCGTTTGTTGCATTTTATCTGCAATAAAAACAAAATAAATGGACGTAATTGTAATCTTTCTTTAAATTTTGTAGATGGATGGCAACTTCTACGGTGTGAATGCTATGGATACATTTTCTGCGAAATAAAACTTCGAAACATTCACAGACAGTCACACCTAGCTACGTAGCCAATATTTACAATGTAGGCAGATAACCAAGCAGATGACTATAGATGAGTTATCTACCCTGGATTGTAGTTCAGCTGTATAAAGCTAGAATATTCTTTGATTGAAGCGAAAATAAACTATTAAAGATAAATAGTACGTTATTAGAACTCTGTCAATTTGTATATTGAATCCTCTGCTGACAATAATTGCAATATTTTATCAGTGACCATAAAAGATTAATTTTCTTTTAACATTTCGTTTCCTGTCCACAATTTCCTGCATACAAAAAACGTCCTGCTCTGACGATCTACATCCGCGTTCTGTGTAAGACGATAAACTACATCCAACAACAAGGACTCTGATCAGGAGGTTTTGAGGAGCATGGAACCACCTCTTAATTGTTGATGTTTCCAGGTCCACTCTGATCCGAGGTGACAGCTGCTGTCAGAGTCCCAGCTATGGGCAAATAGTTAAACCCCAAACTGAGGGTAAAAATTTAATTTTCATACCAGCAATAGATTTTTGTAAAAAAATTATTACCAGCAATACATTTTTACCAACAAAACTTTTTTTGGAAATTGAAAAAAATAAAATAAAATTACCAGCAACACATATTTTGGGAAAATATTACCTGAAATACTTTTTGAAAAAAATATTAGCAGCAATAAAAATCTTGTCGGCTTTAAATAAACCATTGAGGTTAGTATGCCGTAAAACAAACCAAGCCAAGCGAAATCAAAGCATAAAAAAAGCGGCTATAAAAGTTAAACAAATAAAATTGTTTTGTCTAAATTTTATATTTGTAAAACTTATTATCCTTTAAGTTTCATCTATTCGCATTGTTTTCCTTGTTTGTAAACATTCTGAAGGTGAGTTAGGTTTTCTCGAAAGGAGTGGAAATTTTTATCTTAAAAATATTCTTGTTTTTAATAGATCGTTTATGTCTGTGTTGTGAGGTAAGAAATATCAGTTCGGAGTGAGTCGATTTCATTAGGTTTACTTACGCACAAATAACCTTGGGAAAAAGGTATAAATTCATCTTTTCTACCCCCAAGCTATGGGTTGAATAGCAGTACTTTAGCCTTGTTTGGTAACCAGTCTACCGCAGAAGAAATGGCAACCTACTGCGGGGAAATCTGACTTATATGTCATGTATTGAAAGATATATGACCGCCCAAGCATGTATCACGCATAGCACTTAACTGACTGAATATTGCAAAACTTTTCATTCATTAGATTTTAAATAAGCCAGCAAATGTCACACATTGAACATAATAAAAAATTACATCTCGTTCAGATATTGTTACTTAAAAATAATAATCTATTCAAGTGTTTTTATTGTTTGTATATAACTTTGTGTAGATCTATCTATCTATCTATCTATCTATCTATCTATCTATCTATCTATCTATCTATCTATGTGTGTGTATGTGTGTGTGTTATGAGAATCGAAGTCACTGCCCTCGCGAGATGGTCTGCAAGAAGTACTTTCTGACCCTCGCTTCACGGCAGGCACCTAATTTGCTTAAACCTGACCAGTGAAGTTTCAAAACGAACCTTAAAATATGAAGAAGCCATATTTTTAAAATTACTGACATGGTATAACTGATTAAATTTAGACGAATATTTTTTAACGCATACAAAAATTCAAAATTTCATGAGTTGCTATACTATCAAATATTGATAGGAATAAAATCCTTCAATAATAAAACCATATACTTTGATTAATTTTAATTTTTAGGCCAAAAAATATTTACAAAATGAGAATGTGATTGAAATACGTAGTTTATGCAAGGGAAATAACTCAGTTAGGAAAACTTTCCTTTGTATGTGTGTGTAAGTTTATGTACCCATACGTAGAGCACAAGCATTCATATATATTAGTGTATATATATGTATACATATATAAATATATTGTTTATATTTTGCTATATTTATGGAGGGAAATCGTACTCACTATCGTTGATAGAGAGTTTGTAGATACAGACAATGTGGACTTGGTCTCAAGACGGTTTGGTTTGGTTTCTTTCACGGCATATCAACACCACAATGGGTTATTTAATGCCGACAAAATTTTTATTGCTAGTAATATTTTTTCCAAAAATGTATTGTTGGTAATATTTTTTCAAAAAAGTATAGCTGGTAATAATTTTTTTACAAAAAAGTCTTTCTGTTATTTTTACATTTTCATAGTGTTTTGACCCCAGTTTGGGGGTTAACTATTTGCCTATAGCTGGGATCCTAACAGGTGCTACCACCTCAGGTCAGGGTGGACCAGGGAACATCAGCAATTAAGAGGTGCTTCCACACTCCTCAAAACCTCCTGATCAGAGGCCTTGCTGTTGGACGTACTTTATCGTTTTCCTCGGGATGTTATTTATCGTCATACCCAGGATGGTCTGAAGACGGTTTGACATATGAAACTGATAGTCAGCATGTAGCGTTGATTCCTGTCACCACACTGCCTATATCTATCTAAGCTGAAGAAAGAAATCAACACTGCATGGTGATTATCAGTTTCACACCTTAAGCAATCATCAAACCATGTGTTACTCTTCTTTGTGTGTGCTGTATATATAGGTCACTAGGAGATTAAAGGAAGAGAGAGAGAGAGAGAGCTTATACGTGTAACAACTTTTTAAAAACATTTATTACTGTCTGGCAGTTGTTATGGGAGGGTGGCTTGTCTTACTTCTGTGTTAAACTTGTTTTAGATATAGTGCCGGGAGGCGTGGCTTACTGTATACACTCGAGTATAAGGCGAGTTTTTGTGATCAGTTTTTTTTTACACAAATAGGTGGGGGTGCCGCTGATATTTTAGAAGTACATTGCTGTTACAGAATTACTATTTATCTATGAGCTGAAAATAATCAGACACATAATGACGGTTCATTTGTCAGCCTTAAAATAACAGAAAATTCTATTTCTACTACATCATCAATAAATTAGGCCTTTAATTTAGTAGAACTGAAACCAGCTTATTAAAATACACAAACAGTATGTTAACCTATCGACAGTGCATGCGAGTGGATCAATAAGTCCGTAGCTTAACACGCAGTTAATGAAATTATTGCACAATAATGTTCACCCTGTACAAGGCCCAATAGCCACTCGAGGTAGAGGGTTACAGAGTAATAAGCACAGTTTACGAGAATATGTGGAGAAGATAACGGTTAAGCCTAGACTTGAACAAGTTAAGATTGTGTAAATCGGGAAAGCATTCACTTGGGAGTCGTTCCCGCAAAGTTGCAGTTCTTGAGAAGATGTTAGAGTTGAATACAAACGGTTCTTAGTCGTAAAAGTTAAAACTGGTGGAATTACGGAATTAGCAGCGAGAGGCTTGCAACGTTTCGTCTGTGAGGAAAGGGGTTGGAGGTTGGAAAATCATTCATCACCCACAAGGACGCGTAGACGCTATCGAGACCGGAAAGAGAAAACTGGACAACCCCTGCCTAAATATGACAGCAGTACTTCATTTTCGGGCAGATCTGGCTCTTGTAAAGTTAGAAAATAGCAAGGTGGGGTGTCAGGTACTTACTGGAGGGGTACAGGGCATCCGTTCATTATGATAGACGAACATTTAGGGTTTGTTCGGTGTATGATGGAACGTTACTATCTGTCTATATCTCTGAGATAAGATATTATGATTACTTGCATTATTTACATTATTCGGACTGTTATCCTCATCTTCATTGCCATATTCACAAAGTTTCGGCCTCTATATCTCTGAGATGAGGTATTATGGTTACTTGCATTATTTACATTATTCGGGCTGTTATCCTTATCTTCATTGCCATATTCACAAAGTTTCGGATGTTGTACGTTCCGATCTTCTTCAGGTGATTGGAACTTCAAACCGAACCCTTTATTTTGGTCAAAAATGGTTGCTGAGAAATTAGGTTTATAAGTCTCAAGTATTCATACACAGATGTCTTCAAGGACACATGACCCAGTGGATAAAGACGTTGATTAGATCCAGTGACTAGACCCAAAGAATTGTGAGTTCAATACCAGGCCACAGCAGTGGTGAGAAAAAGTGAAATAACTGAGACATTCGGAAGAAAATGGAACTAGAACAATCTACTCTGGTGGACGAAATAAAGGGTTCGGTTCTAAAATCCAATCACCTGAAGAAGGCCGGAGCGTACAACGGCCGAAACCTTGTGAACATGGCGATGAAGATGAGGATAACAGTCCGAATAATATAAATAATGCAAGTGAACGTTACTAGTTTGTTTTTTGTGGCATTGAATGTGTCCGGCTATTAAAACCAAGTTAGGTCACAGGATGAATAATTTGGGTCTCTAACCATTGAGCCTGACCAGTAAGTGGTTTGGTCGCCGTGCGGACTGCATCCACGTCATCTTTAGGATTTGTACCCGAAAGCTCTCGACACACTTAGATGATTATCTTTGGCGTCGATCTCTTCAGTCCATCGAAGTCACGTATGCAAGATGGCCTTCAGAAATGTACTTTTTTCAATTAAGAAAATGTCAAATTATGAAGTTTCTAAAATATGGAATCTATTTATTTAACAAGACGGGTGTGCTTGCAAGGTTTTATTTAATTTACAAGTTTTCTTTTTTGAAGACTGAAAGCGTTCAAGAAATTGTTCATTAAGTTTATTTTTTTCCTTCACTAATACTTTATCCCTTTTCAAAAGAAGAAAGTTAATTTTGGTTAGTAACAAGAATTAATAATGTATTTTTTATAAATTTTTGTGCAAGAAACATTTTTGTTGAAGTCATCTCCTTCTTAGTGTAATTGTGCTTAGTGCTCAAACATGGTCAGAACATTCTGGCCGTGCTCGGTGCGATTAACGGGTTAATAATGGCCTTTCAGCAAAATAAGTCGTCGTAAACGATCTTAACTACAATGGAAATATATGACTGGTTTATTCTCTCTCTCTCTCTATATATATATATATAATGAAATGGACAAAAGTCCGACAATTATTTAAAGACATTTTTATGTTAATACATTCTTTTTATAGATACAAATATTTAAGTAAATGCTCTGTTGATAATAAACAGTATTAAATAACATTTACCGGCCTGAATGTCCGAGAATTTTTCATAGAAAATATTCGTCCTTCGACAGGATTCGAACCTGTATCCTATACGGAACCGTCATATAGCCTGACGTGCCTTACCGCTCGGCCACAAAGGATCGAATTTACTGCTTATAAACTTCAATTTTCCATCTCTCACGTAAATTTACTTAAATACTTGTATCTATAAAAAGAATGTTAAACATAAAAATGTCTTTAAATAATTGTCGGACTTTGTCCATTTCATAATGTGTGACGTCATTTGTTTACATTTGAAACGCCATGAGCAGTTATGAATGTACGTGAGAGAATCATGGAAAATTGATAACATTATTCGGACTGTTATTCTCATCTTCATTGCCATATTAACAACGTTTCGGCCGTTGTATGCTCCGGCCTTCTTTAGGTGACTGGAAATTTCGAACCGAATCATTTCTTTCGTCGACCGGGGTAGATTGTTCTTGTTCCACGTGCCATGCCTCTTCTGGCTGTCTCAGTTATTTTCCTTTAACTCAACTCTCCAAGTGCTGTAGCCTGGTATTGAGCTCAAAACCCTTTGGGTCTAGTCACTGGATCTAACCCAACGTCTTTATCCACTGGACCATGTGTTCTCAAGGACAAAGAGACAATAAACCAGTCAAGAACACATGGCCCAATGGATAAAGACGTCAGTTTAGATCCAGTGAATTGACGACTAGACTCGTCATAATTTTGCTTTTAATATATATGTTTATTTATTCTTTGAATAATATCACCCGAGTGTTTAATATGTAATGGATTTATTTTACTTAAGAAAGGGGTTTAAAGTTATACAATGAAAAACAAAATTATGACGAGTCTAGATGTCAAATTTCTACACACAAATATACCTCGCAAAAATGTCCTATTATCCTAAGCAACCACTTTATTAAATCTAATGAGACATTTCTTTATTTACGCGTCAAACAAAATAACACACACATATACCGTAATTCGCCATGTATAATACGCATATGGGTTGGTATTATGCACGGCTACAAAAAAATCTTTAAAAAATTGCCTTTCATAGGTCGATTGTGAAATGACTACTCACCACAAACATACGAAAATTTGACATAACATTAGGCGATTGCAACCTCAAAAGGATGTCAAATGCAAGCATATTAACCTAACAATACTTACAAATGTAAAATAAAATAAGAATTATCATAAAACTAAATTAGAATAAGATTATTCCATGTTTAAAACCATTTTTTTAATAAGAGTAGGAAACGTTGGCCGTAATGAAATTGGAGAGGAACAATTTATAGGGTTTGATTACCAAACAAGGGGTGCGTATTATACGTGAGTAGAAGCATTTTCCCACCCATTCAGCACATTTTTAAGCGTGCGTATTATGGATGAAGTCGTGTTATATCATGGGGAATTACGGTATGTATAATTATGTATTTGCGAAGCAATCCCTCTTTTATACATGTTTCATTAAAGACGACTGGCAAGGGACTGCGACTAA